GCGCGGAGTGGTCATATTTTGCGTGCCTGAGGAGAGCGGGCCGTATTTGGCTTGCTGTGGAGGGGGCGCACTTACCAGATTAGTCGCTGGGTAGTGCGGGAGCTTCGTATTTGCGTCTGAAATTTCGTTTGATAACATGTGTCTTGCTTTCACGTGCAGGCCATTTCCCCGTTTCACCCCCACCCCTCCCCCCACTTCAGCCCTTACAACCTCTTCCTCTACCTTCAATGATGTTTTTTTTGAGGAAAATGTGGGAATTCCTGGAAACAAATGGCAAAAATCCAAAAATGCCGTCATCCGGAAAAGTGCTATGAGATTGGGGAAACCTTGAAAAAGGTGGTAGCAGGTTAGGAAAAGGAAAATGGGGCGGGGGTCGTCCCAGAAAAGGAAATTGCGAGAGGGATCGTATTTTGCAAATTTTGAGGGGGGTCCTATTTTGCTCCCGACTCTATTTTTCGGGAATTCCTGTATCTTTTGAAATGTATGCAGATCCTCTGGGATCCCCTCGATGGAACTCATAATGCGAGTTTCGGCACTGTTCGGGGAAGGGGAGGAGGGGGCACATGAGAAAAGTAAGACGAGAAGAATGTTCCGAATGCTCTGTGGAACAACCGTTTTCGTTAAATTCTCGTGCGTATTAATGCCCAAATGGATGTGCTCAGACGCCTTCCCCTTCGCTTCCCTCCCCCTCCTCCAGCCAAGCCAAGCACCTCCCTGATTTATCGTTCAGGCGACTTTCGCCACTCTGTGGCCTGCTTGTGGCAGCTGTTGATCTAGAGATGGATAAGGAAGTCTGCCAAGTGCGAATGGCGAAAACCCCTGAACGCTACCATGTGTTTGGGAGGGGAGGGGGGGGGTGTGGGGAAGGTTCGAGAATTTCTGTTCTTGAGACCAAGTCCGGCTTTCAACAAGCTTCGGCAATGTAACAGTCATTCTTTCTTCTTCTCTTTGTCTCCGCAGCTCTGAACATCACCTTATCAATAATCCTTATCAGCCCCATCATAAATAACTTACAAATTTATGGTGCAACGCCATAGTTCCCGATGCTGCAAGTTCCGGGGTGCTGCTGATCGTGGACAGTTTTCTGCAATTAATGGGCATATCTCCTGCAACTAACAGTTGCAGGAGGAAGGGGAGGGGCAACGGTAGAAAGCTCTCCTTCTAGTAAATGGAATCGAAGAAGAAGATATGAAAATAGGATGACTGCTGTAAACACATCAATTATAAGATCCCTACATTATGCCATCTGTTTATATTCACCAGTTTCCCCGACAGCAGCCTGGTTACACTTTCGTGGCCATACCACACGTTTTCCACATGTGCTCATGTCTATAAGCAACAACAATGAGTGCGGTGGAGTAGCTAGGGAGGTGCTAGTTGAGGGGCGCTGCTCGGCTTGGAAGGGGCATTTTGCACTCTCGCTAGTCCCTTTTGTTAGTTCGTGTTCAATAACAGGTCTCACTTCGGTATTACCTGTAAACTCGTGCGAAGCTCCGGAATACAAGTGAGCAACGAGAATTCACAGGTCCTAACAAGGTGGCCTGCACAAGCTTCACTGACTTCCCCACCAAGCAGAACTGCTCCCTTGAGAGTCTTCCTATGCCGTAATAGGCAAGAATACAGGAACCCAGGATGAACAGATTGTTGTGGCATCCATCACGATGGAGGTCACGGTTGGCCTGCTGGCAAATGGGAAGGGGTAGTATGCAGGGTACAGCATCGTGATGTCTGAAATGGTAGTGTCACTACGACCCCCTAGATAGAATCTCGGTACGACCCCTCCCCCATGTGAAGAGGGTCAGCCGAGCGGAGGTGGATTGGGGAAGGGGTAAACAGCACATGTGAAACGGGAAAAACCGCGAAAAGTCAACAACGGGAAAAAATTTTCCCAACGTGGCAAATTTCTCCCGAAGGCACATACGACCCCTCTCCTACAACGACGGCATCATTACAACCCCCCCCCCCTCCTCAGCGGACAGGTACGACCCTCCGCATGTGTCTCACACAAACGAATGCTGTACCCCTGGCGTAGGTTGGCAGTCTTCCAGTCTCAAGACTGAACAGAGTAACGCAGCTGCTCTCGAATTTGTTCAATGAGCTGGACTGTCCCATGATGCTGGCAGGCAACGCGCGCGTATTAGCGCTACAAGTCATTGTTTTGTAGCTTGAAAACGTCGAAGTAGTAAAAGGTCGCGCGCCTACAATTTGTTTATGTCGCATGTTAGTGTGACGAAAATTCCTTTGCGAGTGCAACACTAATATCAGCGTCACGGGAAGCATGGTTTTTCGGAGTGCTTGTCCAAATGCCGTGCTGACAGGAAGTGGCATGCGACGCCGCCCGCGGAGGACGGAGTTGGTCCTGCACGTGACTCGCTGTTGCACAGATTGAACACCAACTCGACATGGAAGTATCGGCGTACCCCTGTTGTTCATTTCGAATCGCCGCTTATCGCCGCGCCATGTGCCGCTGGCATGCGCGCATGCAAATTGCGATAGTCTTGTCCATCTATCTCATTCCTTCCGAGTTGCGATTTGCCTTGAAAAGCACTATTCCAAGGTAAAATTTCTGTGAAACTGCTTTATCGCTCATTAGGTCTATAGCAATTAGGACCGGCAGAATGCGATAGGAAGTTCTAGCACATGGCAGGAACGAATGAAGATGCTACTGGCACCTGCTCGACTACTCCTTGATCAAGGGGATTGCAGGTGATGTATGTGCAACAAGCAGCGCGACTTCAAAAAAGAGAAGCCACTAAATAAATAGCATTGAGAAGTCAGCAAAAAGAGGACACAACAAAGAGACGCGGAGAGCGATTACATTGAAGAAGAAGTGATCACAATGAAAATGGAAAAGCGGAGCAGTCGGCGACGGGAGGGGGGTGGGGGGTGGGAGCGTTTTGCACTTTCTCTGCTTCACTACCGTCAAATAGTAGAGTAGCATAAGTTGAAAGGATCGAGAATCAACAAACAAAATTTAAATGTATCAGTATAAATCTGGAGAACATTGCGCGTCTCCGTACACAGCCCTGACTGACTTGGACCTTATACACCTGCGAATCATAACAATCATATGATGAGCTTTGTTCCTAGGTAGGGGAAAGTTTTTGGTAAATAGAGCGAAGCAGCCGTGGAAAGAGGAATCCGGCTTCATTGCTAGCTCTGTTTCCAAAGAAAATACCCTTTCTAGCGAGAGTGCTAAGCTGTAGGCAAAAGCCTTGATCCTGAGCGGGACTTGAACTCGCACCTCAGACTTTTGGGGCGAGTGCGCAGAAGTCGAAGTCTATGCTTGGCTTACCAAGACGAGTTACTCCACACCAACCGACAAGGAAGGTGCTGAGAACAATATCCCACGAGAAGAATGAAAAAAAATTCAAAATTTTTGAATTTTTATTGGATCTTTATAGTCTTTTGCAATGAATTTTAGGTGCCTCTTTCTGATTTCATGTTCAGATTATAGTGAGGCCCCAGCCAAACAATGCTGTGAAATCAAAATCTTTTTCCTTTAATCCGCTCTATCTCAGTCGTTTAGTGTTTTCTGTAGTGGTTTTCTTTGTAAGGTTGTTTTTCTTGCCGGTGTTTTTTTTTATTTCTAACATTTCACTGAGACAGGGAATCTGCTCTTTTTTTGTTTTCATTTTTGCTGGCGCTATTTGCTCTTGAAAATGTCATATATAAATACCATCAATCACGCCGTGCAATTGCGTACTTATTGCAAAAATTTACTGTTTTATCAAGAGTTGCCTGGAATTTAGAGGGATTCGTTCCGGCGTAATGCAGCAACTTGAGGTCGTCTTTTGATGAAAATTATTTTGCCTGCCAGTATGTATTCATATCTGAATGAGAACGACGATTCCACTACTGTGTGCTTCAGGGCAAACTTCTTCCTGGGAAAGGTCTGTACTTCATGTGGTACAAGTTTCCGAAGCAACACTTCTTGAAGGATTATTTTTCAGGGAACCAACTGCTGACTATTGATGCCAAATATCTACGGCTGTTTCGGACAAACCCTTATACATTAATACCTCCTAAGGACGCCACCGAGCTTTACTACGCTGTTTTGAATGGTATATAACCCGTTACCGGAACTACTTACAGTTGTTAGTTACATTGTTTTATCGTACTTGTAGTATTCCTGATGATGAAAGAAGTGTTTGATTTTCAAGTTTATCAAAGAACAACCATATCAATTTGTACATCAATCATGAACGTGACATTCGTCCACGGTCACACTGTGGTAGGCATGGCTGCGTAAAAGGTTATGATAAATCCTAAGAAAAAAAAACCAAATTCTGGACAATCTCAAGAAACAAGCTCAACAAATCCGCAGCTTTGAAAAAGTTCACAAGCCTGATAAAAGAGTTCACAAGTCGGACCAAAGCAAAACCTGTCAGCTAACATGAACTAGCAAAAGTAAAAGCCCCCCCCTCCTCGCCCTCACTTCGAGTGCACAAAAAAGGGTGTTATACAAAAAGAGAACAACATTTACGAAGCATGAGATGAAGCCTCTGCCTTCTAATGTTCCATCGAACTACGACAAACCAACATATTCTATATCTGTTTCCCCTTCACGCTCCGCACGCTCAGCTTCGAGTCCATCAACATCGAATCGTCTACAGAAGTCTTCCGCTCGTTTTCTTGAATCGAGCGCTCTTCTGATTCCTGTTAATGACCAAGATCAATACCGATGCCTTTTTTATAGAATATTCGCCAACCTTATACAAACTTGACATTGGACGCAGTTGGCATTGGAGCAATCAACAAACTGTTGCGAACACCATATCTGAAAACGGCAACACATAAACTCTTTGGACTCATTCATTCTGTGACAACGCACTTCTTGATTTTTCTCTAAGCGTATCCCAGTCACACTGGTCCGTAGGCTTAACGTTCCACTTATCGAACTGCAGAATTCCCTTAAATACCAGGCAACCTGGGTAAGTTTCATAAGGTGTATATAGGACAGTTATACAGGGACGTAGCCCTAGAAAAATACAAGAATCTTAACAATACCATACTGACCATATTTCTCGGCCAAGTTCACAGGAGGCTTCAAGAGCAGCGTAATAGATAACCTCGAAGATCCTGCGGTTCAAATCGCGGGCCTCAGGCGACGTGAATGGATAGCGCATCAGCATGAAGGCGTCAGCAAGTCCCTGCAAAACCCACTCTTGCAGATCTGGTGAGTTCTAAAAATAGTACCCTTTTCAGAAACTTCTGAGAGTGGACTCTACCTGTACTCCAAGTCCAATCGGCCGATGACGGAAGTTGGAACGTCGTGCTTCTTCAACGGGGTAGTAATTGACTTCGATAATCTTGTTCAAGTTACGGGTTAGCACCTTAACCCATTTTTGTAGAAAAGGTCATGTAAAATCCTTATTGTGTACAGGGATACAACTCTCACCTTAGCAACCTCATGAAGCTTCTTGAAGTCAAACTTCTTGTTTTCTGTGAGGAATCTGTTAAGGGCAATCGAACCAAGATTACATACGGCTGGATACGACTCTCACCTTAGCCACCTCATGAAGCTTCTTGAAGTCAAACTTCTTGTCTTCTGTGACGAATCTGTTAAGGGCAATCGAACCAAGATTACATACGGCTACCTTAACAAAGATTCCATCAATAAACAACCAAAGA